GGCGCTCATGGTGGAACCCCTGCCCAGCCTCGCCTCCCTGGACTCCGACAACCAGTTGGAGGCTTTGCTGGAGGGCACGCTGGTTGGGGACACAGAGCCGGAGCAGAGGACTTTGGGCCTGTTGGAGGAGCTGCAAAACCAGATGCTGGAGCAGCCAAACTCCCCAATGGAAACTTGTGAGCTGGGTTTCACCGACCCGCCTCCGCCTTCCTCCTCCGCCCTGTCCTTTAGTCTCCAAGACACCTGCCTGGACAACATGGAGTGGCTGGACATCACTATGCCCGGGCCCATAGGTGGACTCAACCCACTGGGCATCACCTCTGAATTCTTGGACACTCATGATCTGCAGCTGCACTGGGACTGAGAGGAATGGCTTCAAACACGATTATGCTTTCACTCGCACAACAAGCCGTTTGTCTTTGGGGCGTGCAGTAGGGGTCATCTTTGTGGCAGTGGTTCACATCTGGCAGCTTCATGTGACTAGACTGCAGCTCAGCTGTACACTTCACTTATGCTGGTTCTATTTTCACCATCTGTTCTCGTTCACATTAACGCTCTTGTTTGATCAGAATAGACACAAGAGCCTTGTGGGCAATGCTGGCTAGGTCCTGAATGTGCTCTCTTTGCTGTGCCATACTGAGAGGGAGCTGCTTTCAGGCAGATTGAATTCTGCTGTATTGCTAATTTGTTTTGTTTTATATTCATGTGCCATTGACATCGGATTGGTTGTGGTCAGTCTATAAATATGGCTGGAAAGGCTGTGGATTCCAGACACAGTGGAATTACAGTAGACTTTGCTTTGTTTGCACAAAATTGAAAATGACCTTGATCAACAATGCCATTATTATTAACAATGCCCCTTTTTCAGCGCTGACTGCAAGATTTGGTGGCAGATATAGTACACTACCGTTAAAAAAAAAAAAAAAGATTCAGCAAGGATGCATAAAATTGATCAAAAGTGACAAAGACATTTATAATATTGTAATTAATTTCTATTCATAAAAGAAAAATATATTTATATATCACAATTTCCACAAAAAAATATTAAGCAGCATAACTGTTTTCAACATTGATGTTAATAAGTTAATAATAATAATAAGTTATTATGCATCAAGTCACCATATTAGAATAATATCTGAAGTATGTGACACTGAAGACTGGAGTAATCACTGCTGAATTACATTTAAACTATATTACTACAACTATAAACTATATTGACATGAAAAAAAATGCACAATATCACTTTTTTTACTGTATTTTTGATCAAATAAATGTAGCCTTGTTGTTTTAAAACATCAAAAATCACCCTAAATTTTGAACGGTCGTGCAGTTTGATGGAGAAGATCTATTTAACATGTGTATATATATATCTTTTTGGGATTTAATTTTAAAGACAATCACATTGTTTGAAGGATGATTGACTGCAGACCAGATAAATCGATTCATGATTTATGTAGCTGGAATTGCAGATTTTCCGTAAGCATAAATGGCCAATCTCGGATGAGTTTGCAAAGAGCATTTGGCTTGATATGGATTGAGAATCGCAGACAGATTAATTTCTTCAGTCCTAGACACATAAAAACTTATTTTGAAGACTTAATTTGTCATGGATCGGCTCTCAGTTTCAATAATCTATGAGAACAAATATTTGTATAAAAAAGAAAAGCTGCCACGCATGACTTTGTTGGATGTCCAACACCTTATTTGTGTGTATGTGAATCGTGAAGTGTGTCTGTGATTGTTCGTCACTTCAGTGGAGTGTGTGTTTGACTCAATTGATTTTAGGTGCATCATACTGTAAGGAAGTTCCTGTTTTTTCCCACACTTCTCAGTTGGGTTCGCACAGTTGTCACTATATTTTGCGTTATTTGCTTATTCTTGATGCCATGGAACAAAGCTCCGTTAGAGAGACTGCTTTTGGAAATGTAAATGAAGCCATCAGAAGTGACAACTGACACTAAATACAAAATACTGTTTATTCCTCCTGTACATGGAGTTTTGAAAATGCAAAGCTCTCTGGGGTTGTTTCAGAAGCAAACCAGACAGTTGCTAAGACTGCATGTTAAATGTCACTGGCAGCTTAATAATTCGTTTGTTGAGGGAGTCTGAGAAGGCTTTAGCAGGCTTGTTTTGTCAGGTTCGTGTAGTAAATATCTGTGTGTGGGTGCATGTGTTTGTATGCTTGAGTGTCTCTGTCTGTTTTACTGCTTGTTCGAAATAAGACCATCCAAATGAAATGTCTGTGTAAATGGACAACATTATGTATGTATATATTTGCAAATATCTTGCATGTGAATAATCAAATTGATTTGATATCTTTCAGAGAAACTTCCTCTTGTTTTTCTTCTGTTTGTTTTCTTTTTGATGTTGTCAGCCACCTCATGGAAAAATCGTTTTATTCGTATGTATATATCCTGCTCTGACGTGACTCCTTTCCATTCAGCAAGGCAATACGTGTCCACTGGCTTTGAACTCACCTCTCTCAGATGTGAAGCCAAAGGGGGTTTATATATATATAAGCACTTTCCTGCTGCAGTGATGAACTGCTCATCACAGTTATATCAACCACACAGATGAGCTTTATAAAAGAAAAAAGCTTCAGTGTTGCGCACCGTCTGCTCAGAAGTCGATTATCGATGCCCATCTGCTTTGTTTTTAAGGCTCTGTACTGTTTGCTCTGCATACTGTCCAAATTGTGGCCTCTCCAGGGACGAAAAAATGCCAAATACTAGTCTCAACTAGTATGATCATTCACTCCTGTGTGTAGCTATGAGGACAGATTTAGTCCAATAAGGAATAATGCATGTGTCTGACTGTTCAGAGGCGTTTTTGGCATTACTGACTGCTGTTATAATGCAGCCTAGTGCAATTTTTATGTACCCTATCATACTATTATTCTGACAAGCAAGTGAAGGAGAAAGAACAGGATATACTGACCTTAGGTTTCCATCATGTGATGCCTCTTGTGTTCTAGAGCTTTTTGTGGGATTAAAACTTGATGGTTCGAATGACCAAAGAGGCCAAATATTGTACTATGCCACTTCATGTAGATATTGACACTACCTTCATAAGTTTGGGGTCAGGTTTTTTTTTTAAATAAATTAATGCCTTAATTCAGCAAGGATGCATTAAATTGATCAAAAGTTACAGCACAAGACATTTACAAATAAATGCTGTTCTTTTGAACTTTCTGCTCATCAAAGAATCCTGAAAAAAATGTATCAAGGTTTCCTCAAAAATATTAATCAGCACAGCTGTTTTTAACTTTGATAATAATACCAAATTAGCATATTAGAATGATTAGCATTTTCTGAAGGATCGGTGACACTGAAGACTGGAGTAATGCTGCTGAAAATTCAGCTTTGCCATCACAGGTGATTTAAAGTGATTTAAAATAGTAATATTGTGAAATATTATTACAGTAAAGGCTGATCAAATAAATGCAGCTCCTGTGAGCAGAGGATACCTCTTTGTAAAACATTGAAAAATCTTACTGATCCCAAACTTTTTTACGTTATTGTAGGTGGTTTTCGTTGATTTGTTTTAATCTGTATTGAATTTAGTTGATTGTAAAAAGGTTAGAGATGAAGTCAATACAAGTGTCCCGTCTTCTGTTTAATAGTTGGAGAGTAAAGCAATAACTTGCATTTTATATACAGTGCTGTATTGTATACAGTATATGCAGTAGATGAGATATCAGAGCATCACTTCAGTTTTACATCATCTATTTGCTGTTGTGGCTGAGATTAGAAACCCGTGGCTTGTGTTTTTGCCATTTAGGATGTCAAAGCTCAGCTCCTGTCAAGCTTCATGTTGATTTAGGATTCCTAGTTCCTCATTTTCAACAACGTCTGCCCGACTCATCTAGATGTCATGCTCTTTATCAAATATTAAATGTATATTATGTATCAGTGGTGATGACACTGGGCGATATTTCCCGCCGCCTTTGAACATCCTCCAAAGCGGGAGATCAATCATCATTTGTATGCCATATGTTTTGCACATTGTGTATATATTTTAATGGATGTAATACATATTTTTATACATTGTCTGGCGCATCCATGAGCTATATTTTGTGAATAGTTTTAAAGATACGAGTATATACGCCATCACGTGTCAATGAAAATGTATGTATTGTGAAAATGTATGTATTGTGAAAATACTGTCATAAATGATGTTTTAGAGTCTCTTAAATATATCAGAGGAATGACATGCAGAAACTGTGTCTGTTATTGTTTATTTGCCACAAGAGATGTTTTTCTATTCTGAATATATGACACATTAGGGTCCTCCATGATGCATTAGAAAGTTTCATGTACAAAAATAGTGACATTTAATACAATATATGTCCTATAACTGTCCTTAAGGCTCATTTACCTGACTATTACATGAATGAAAACTAGTGATATATTAAGAGAATCACAAATGTCACTCAAACCTGACCATTTCAATTTGAATATATTATGCTGTTAAAAAAGACATTGTATTGATAAACATTTAATGTCTCAAGGGCTTGGATTGTTATCCAGATCATTGTTCATGCCTGTATATATTTCAAATATTGGTACTTTAGGAGTATTTTAATTTTGGGGAAACTTTTAATGCTTTACATTTCAAAAAAATGAAATGAAGAAATAAAGACCCACTCCAAGGCATAATAGTGATGTTCAATTGATTAATTAAACTTTTCAACTGGTTAAAGCGATTCACACTAAGTTTAACCCATTCAACTGTATAATAGCAAACAACTCTGATTCAATCAGTGGTTAATAAACCATTGATTTGGTCATATCTGACTCAAAATGAGCCAATATGCTACATGATTTGTGTACTTCTTCCATCACAACTCATGACTGACTATCACCCTAAAAGCATGTCTATTGGAAGAGGTTAATACAAATGACTGGTGGCTATTAGCACAGTTATTAATTGCTTGACTACAATTGAATTCATTTGTATAGTTTCTCCACATCTCAAAGCCTACATTGACTTGCCAAACAATTCTGTCGCTATAGAATAGAGATAAAAATCCCTTTCTCTGAAAAACACGCTCAAACAGCCCTGACAGTGTCTTGTGCTCAGCCCTTTTCTGATGTCTTTACAGTCACGGTATCACAGATCAGGAACATTGTGCTCAAAACCTATTTACTGCACAGATGTCTTTGTGGCAGGACGGACAAATGTGGGCGACATCTTTGAAGCGGTCCATACAGAAGGGGATCAGGCAACATCCGGCCAGACACCTGTGCCAGAAACAAAAAAAATGACAATAAAAATGTTCTTTACTATTCTGGCATTGTAGAAATAGTTAGAAAACTTAATAGTTACTTAAGTTTTAAATAGTAAAATTGCCTGCTTAGCAGATTCACTAGAGAGGAACAATCTCCTCGAATAATGAAGAACAGTTATTCAATAATGAACTAAACAACATGTACATGTGAGGAATAATAACAAGAGTACTGGTTCTTGAACCAGATTCACCCAGTTAGTGTTTCGAACTACTGGTTCAGAGCCAGATCAGTGTTCGGAGCTTGTATCAAACTGCAAAAGTCATGTGATTACAGTGAACAAGGCTTCGATAGCTTTAGAAACCTCACTGACATTTTACTTTGTATCACTCTGCTTGTCTGTGTTTGCGTTCCAGACCGACTGTCAGTCTGTCCATCATCAGTGAGTGATGATAAGAAAGTAAGTCATATGGGTTTGGAACAACATGAGGGAATGGTGACAGAATTTTCATTTTTGGGTGAACTGTTCCTTTAAGTGACTGTCTTATTATGAGTGAGTCGTAGTCGTAGATTAAAAGAATCATCCACTCGATTTGGATAAAAACATTAATCCAGCCTCTGTTGTTTATTTCCCCGTCTGACTATTTCCATTGACGGCGCAAAAATAGACATGGCAAACTGGCAAAACTGTGAATAAAACGTGAGTTATTACCTTCGTTTATTGTACACTTACATTAAAACGATATTACATTCGCAGTCGTGCTGTTAGTCTGAATATCAACACGACTGTTATTACTTGCTATATTCGGAACAACAGCGCTCTTGCTCGGTCAGTGACTGATTCTTCATTGTAGAGTAGCTACTCACCCCACCACAGACAAGAGACAGCAAAAGAGGAAGGCATTGCTGCCCACTTTATAGCGAATCTCAGTGGTGACAGTCTTATGGCAAGAAGGGCATTTCACTCTGGCAGGGGACATGGTGACATCGTCAAGGTTTACTGCGGTCTCTGGGAAGGCGAAACACGTTCATTTTGTTTATTTATTCATCATATGCAATCAAATTCTATGGCCATCTTAATCCAAGACATTTGTCAAGAGGTATTTGCCCTGCAACGTGTCAGTTGTGACGATTGTGCAACATAAATGTATTATCTCTTACCTGTGTTTTCTTCTTGCAGAGCACTGATAGAAGAAATAGTTCCTGTAGGTGAAATGGTAAGAATGTAGTTTGTGGATTGTGGAGCTTTTCCATCTGACATGGTGAGTATACAAAGTAATTCATGTTATATTTGCAACATATTATTTTACCTGTTTTTTCCACTTGCAGAGCATTGATAGGAGAAATAATTTCTGTTGGAGAAACGGGAAGAATGTAGAGTCCTTGGACTGCAGCCTGAATCGGATCTGTCACAGAGAGTACACCATAACACAAAATATAAATAGCGTTACATTTGCATACTAATGACTGGGAATGTTCCATAAAAGAAACAGTATTACAAAATGTTTTTTATGTTTTTGTTTTTTTCTTAAAGCATATTGTTTAATTGAAATGTTCAATGTTCTGAATATTTATATGAATATAAAAAATCATGAGATGTGTTTTGAGGACAGATTTACATAATAATGAGCAGTAAATATGAAATATGTACTTTGTGTTTCATATGTCTAAATTCAGTTTATAAGGAGTAAAATGTATGTTTTTTCCCATTAATAATGTAATTGACTAAAAATACTTAGTAAGTTATTTAGTAAAAGAAATTTAATTAGTACTTGAGTCATTTACATAATTTAAGTCATTTAATATATGATATATATACCTTTTTTACATTTTGCACAAGCTTGTTTTTGGCTTTCTGTTTTCTACTTTATTTTTAATCATCTAGAGTAGACACATGCCTTTGTCTGTGAACTGTGTTGTCGACCATTGGCTTTTTTTCTGAATAAGATCCTTCTCTTTTTGCTCCAGTAACTCCAACTCCTCCTCTATTTTGTCCAGTTCTGAAGGGCCATCTTCGTTTGCAAGGTTTCCTAAAAGCAAAGAAATATGTAAAACAACCAAATTATTGTTTGTACTAACTAGTCAAATGTAAGCATGAAGATGAATGACAGCCAAGAGTGGACTCATTGCAATTTGAATGCTTATTTCCTGGCAAAGGTGCAGCTCCTTTAGTATGAAGAGAGAACAAGTAATTGCACTCCATTGTTTGCATGTTTTATTGCGGAGGGAAAAAGCCACATGTTGATGTACCTATTCTGAAGTCTTCTTTAAATACCTCCAGTAATGTTCCCATTGATCAAACTAATCGAGGTACATTTTATTGTTATTATTCAATGGTCAGTCATTTCTTCATCATCAACATTCTTTCTAAAGAGTTACCTTCTATTTTGCTGTTCCTCTTTTGGATCTCCTGTAGAAACTGAAGGCGTTGTTGGAGGTGTTGTCGTCTGAAGAGGATGTTCCACAGGTCTGTGGTATCTTCATCAGAGCCCTGTGGCAGCACTGCGGTCATATTGCCTCCCTACAGGCCAAATTACATCGCTTTACAATCTAATTTGTACATATTTACATTTTGACATAAGGGAAAGACCACAGAGTCCAACTGTTCCTCATTTGCAGCCGTCTGTGGATTTGCAGCTGCAATAATAGGTTAGCAAGCCATTTATTCTGGCCTGGATTTCTGCATTGTTTACTCAAAAAAATGATAATTAATCATTCATTTAAGTCACGATTGTTGACCAACACAATCTGACTAAAATATTAACACAACTGTTAAGTAAGTGAACCCTTTAATTTAGTAACTTGTGGATCCTCCTTCAGCAGAAAAACCTCCACCAAACACTTTTTTCCTCTAAAAAAGGGTTGTGTATTTTTGCCAAAAAGTTCCGCTTTCATCTCAGCAGTCCAAAGAACATTTTCCCAGAAGCATTCTGGAATATCCAGATGCCAAACCTGAGTCTCCTATGTGTTGTCCTTTCATAAACAGCATTTTTTTCCTCAGTGTTTTTTTCACATGAACAATGACTAGCAGTTTGTAGAGTTTGTGAAGGTCTTTTGCTGTTGTCCTTGGATTCTTTCTCACCTCTTACAGGATTGTTCATTATGTTCTTAGTGATCTTTTCAGGAATCCCACTCCTAGGGAGATAAGCAACAGTCCAGAATTTTCCACATTTGTAGACAGGGATTTATGAACTCCCAGGTCTTTAGAAAAGCTTTTGTAGCTTTGTGTTTTAGGGTTCTGTGTTAAGCACTAGCCAATCTTTCTTCAGAAGAGATTTATTAGTAGCCATTTTTTGTGCCTTTATTTAAATGGCAGGGCACCTGTGTGACCAACACTTCCAATCTCATCTCCTTAATTTACTCCAATTTATATTTTGGAGGTTACTTTTGGTTCACTTACTTTCTCCACCCTGTACTGTGAATAATCACCCAATGTCAGTTTGTGTATTAGTAAGTCAGATTGTGTTTGTCTTTAAGATCATATTGCATTTTATGAGTAATCAGGGCTGCACGATATTTGAAAAAACTGACATTGCGATTTAGTTTTTCTGCTATATATATTACGATTTGAAAACAGTTTCACCAGATAGCCTAATATGGAAAGAACTAATCATTCTAGAATGATTGAGTTGATTTGGTAGGGGAGTGCGTCTGTGTAGAAAATAAAAAACAAAGTACAACCATTAGATACATGCAATAGAACAAAGATACAAATGAAATCAACAGTGCTTTAAGTGTTTCAGTTAAGTCTAACAGTATTCATTGAATAATCAAATGTAAAATAACACTGCATAGTCTTCACTGTATAAATTAAACAATTAATCTTTGTTAAAGCAACAAAAGTGATTTTCTCTTTGTATTGTGTTGTTTGATTAACGTTAGTGACAGACAGACGCAGGTTTATTAGGCTGCTGTCACTTTAAGAGCAAAAGCTCTTAATACAATATATTGATACGCATCCGTTTTCTTACTCATTTGTTTACGTAAGCCCTATGTGACTGTGTTTACGAGGATACTTGCTGAGACGGGTATTTTAACATTATTTTGCGTGTATGTGTCCGTTCAAGCAGAAATAGAGGCGGAAGAATACTGAATTCTGTGTTCCGAAATGAGTTTTCTTTCATGCCTTCTTGCGCTCCAATGGTTTTAAATTGCTTGAATAGACCTAAACCATGTGCAAATGATAAACTTTCACACTATGATGGTTAAACTTTGCAATTAACCCAAGAATCACGTGCGTTTCGATCCTTATACTTGACATTGCACATAGCGATTTAAATCGATTGACCGTGCAGCCCTAACAATCAAGAAATCCACACATTTTCAAAGGGTTCAAACAGTAACAGTCAAACATTTGGACACACTTGTCTGAATTCATGATTTTAAAAACATTTGATCTGCTTAAATGCCTGAACTTTGTATTTAGATAAATATAAATTGTGCCGTACAGTAAATAAAAGCACCTAACAAGTTCTAAACATGTGAAGTTCTTCATTATGGTTTTGGACACTCCTCATTAAGGTGACAATATTTTTTTCCCCAATTTGTATTTATTTAAAATATTTGGCCAATACATAATTGTTTTGTCATAGACTTTAATATTACCATAATATTAATACTAAAAGTCAAAAACCTCTGATTTGTTAAATACTGTGTCAGGTGTGATAGTGATATTTCACTTAAATATATCTTTAACTACACACATACAGCCTACAAGACTTTGGAATCTAAAGTGATATTTTATTCGGTGAAAATGTGCTTTTACCAAACAAATATACAACAAACATTTCCCAGCCAAATTCCATTGAATTCCTCTTTGAGGCTGTGTGATATAGATCATTTCTGAAGTAGGCCTATGCATCATTGCCCACCCAAATGACCAAACTTCACTGCTGCTCTAGAATGTACAGTAAAGGCCAAAAATATGCAATCAACATTTTGATCTTGTATGTAATATTGCCATTTTTAGTCTATTGGCGTTCTGTTGATCACAATCTTGCTTACCAGAAATGTCAATGTCCCATTAACCTGCAGCAGACAGACTTTTTTTTTATCTTTGAAGAAATTAGAACATTTTGAGATGAAATTGTCAAATACACATTTTGACGAAATCTGATAGGCCTACTTAAATAATATAAATGCACATTCTTAAATTTGACAGGATTGTGAAAGCGAATATCTATATTGTTTACATGTTGCACTGCATTTTAAACAATCCAAAAGCATGAAAATAAAAGATTAGATATTAATGTAGATTTTCACTTTTTTTGTAAAGCAACAAGGTATTTGTGTGCGTCATTACATTGTACAAACAGTATGTGTATATATTTCATGTTCAGTTTTCAGTGTATCGAGCACCGTTTATGATGGACATAAGCACGTTTAAATGATAAATAAAAAGCATTGATCATAAAATGAAAACAATTTAATATTTAAATGTTGGGCAGATCACATTACCTGTAGGCAATAGGATGCTGTGTTTGTTTGGCGAGTCATAGTCCAGCTCCAGTCCTGGAAAAGTATTAAAGAATGATCAGATTTCTCAATTTTTTTATTCCTCTCGCAGTCCTTCTTCAGCGGTTCTCCTTATGCTGGAGTATTTCGCAGTCTTTGAATATTTCCCCATGACTCCTTATGCCTTCATCCTCATATTGGTGTGAATGTCAGTCATAATATCAGATGACATAAATAACAAAAATAAAATGAATAATCATAAAATATTGCAGAAAGCTTAACAGTAAATGACATCCAATCGTTCAGATACTATTCACCTATCCTTCACCGTTTCTGTTGTGAGAGCTAAACAAGCCACGATACGATTTTCATAATGGTTTGAATGAATTTTCATAATCAAATTTGCAGTAAGGGGTGACGTTCTGACTGTAAACTGGTTTGTGTGTGTATGGTAAATGGTTACTTGTTAAATGGTATGACATAACATGAAGATGCTCTTCCTTGTAGATGTATATGTTTGTTTGACTGTGTCTGGTTTAAAAGCATTTTTAATTGATGAGGAAAACCATGAAAAAGCATGAGCACATCATTTCTTTTTAGGTCATAACATAAATTATTGTTTCAGTTTTACATTTTACTTCAGGTGTTTTTTTAAGCGACATCTTGTTACCTTTCATTAGGACACATTTCATTGAAAAGTGTTCCAAAAGAAGTTGACTAAAATAAAGGCTTGATTGACTCTTTCCTGTCGGTCACCTGTAGAGGTCAGACTTTCACAAGGACAGAGTAAACGCTGTGGTGGGAGAGCTGTTCTGGTCTGCTGTTATCATTTGAATTTGCAAATTTGGTTTTGAATGTGAACTTGAAGAATTAGAATTAAAATAAGTGTAATCCATATACAAATAAAAACTGCTTTAGTGGCTGTTGATTGTTTTGACAGATTCACTAGACTATCTTAGTTTAGAGAAATGTGTCTAAAGCACTGTTATTTTTGTCGTCACCTTTATAGCGCTTTGTACCATACAGATTGTTTACAACAGGAAAATAATGCAACAAAGTTTGTTTCGGCTGTACAGAAGCTCTAAAAGAAAATAGTGTCATTGTCCAGCTGAAGTCAGTTCAGTGTTGATTCATTTCCGTTGTTAAATCATTAGTTATTAAATTAGTTCATTTATCTATCAACTCTGAAAAATACAATGCTGTCATCGTCCAGCTCAGTTCAGTTCTCACACAATGGTGTCAATGCAGTCAGATGAATAATATTATATTAAGTGAATATTATTATTATGATTAGTATCATTGATATACTATTAGTTTTTGTTAATATTTAGGATTTTATTTTTTATATTTTCCGTTTTCATTTTAGTTCAAATTTTACGTTACGTTTTAGTTTTTTCAGTTTTAGTTATTTTAGGCCTACTTCAACTTTAAACATATAAGAAATGTTGCCTGAAATATATATTAAATATTGTTTGTTTGCTTTCAGTACATGTCTATTTTATTCCAAGTAATGAAAATGTGTTTGTTTGTGGGGTTTTTTTTTTGTATGGTTTTAGTGGTAGCTTTAATATAGTTTTAACAATAGTAACCCTGTTGAGGATATAAATAAAAGTGTTGAGGATATTTCTAGGCGAATCGATCTGAATTGAAAGGTAGTAAATTATTAAATTCTGTATTCCCAATGTTGGAGTCATTGTGAGTTCTGGCGGTCGATGTGTGATGTGTGTGTGTGTGTGTGTGTGTGTTTATGAGGGAGGGATGTGTGTCCAAACATGTGCCCATTGGTGCTCATTGAGCATGTCTGTGAAACATCGATATCCACTTCCTGTTTAAGAGGAAGCAGCTGGAGTTGAGCCGTGAGCGGGGATTGGGAATGAAAGGCCTGACACATGAGACGGCACTGCAAACCCCTGTATAACCCTTCCTTCTCCCTCCATTTTTAACAGTCCAAACCTCCTCCCCAACTCCACCGTTTCTCTTCCTTTTGCTCTATTATAGTCTGATCTATCATATCAACTCTCTCTGTTCTATCTATAGAATTGCATTATATATCACAGACAGACCTCT